AAAAAAAAAGCTCACCTTCCTCTGTTGCTCTGTTTATATGTCTGGGTGTGTGCAGTGCGCCCTCATTGCTCTGTTAATATGTCTGGAGCTTTATCTTGGCTTGTTTGGTGTTACGTGTGTGGCCGCCTGCTTTGGGCGGCTAGTTTGTGCTCAACCCCTGTTTTTGGAGGACGGAGTCTAGCTGGCCTACAGTACAGACGCTTGTAACTAAGCAAAGCGAAGCTAAGGCTTACTCTTTTGCTGACGGCTGAATGGGCGGCAGAGGTGCCCGACCCCCACACTTCCGTGCAGTGGGATGCAATCATGGCTGGACGGCTGCTGCTGGTAGAGGCGAGCTTGCTCTCAGGCGGCATCTGCGGCAGCGGTGGCGTCAACTCCAGCGGTGTTGGCGTTGGCAGCGGCGGCAGCAGCGGCGCGAACAGCAGCGGCGGGAACGGCGGCGGCGGGAACGGCGTTGGTGGCGAGCAGACTGATGGACGGATACCATACCATCAATGGCGCCGCCGGCTCGCCACGCAGTGCATGGGCAGGAGCAGTCATGCGCCTGCTGGGCGCCTGCGTCGCTTAGAAAACCTGCGTGATGGGCCTCGGGCACTTCCTAGGCGCTTTCCTTTGCACGTACTACTGTACGTACTGGTCGTCTCATCACCCGATTCTCCCCTGGCAATTAATATCTGGTCTTTTCCTTCACGCGCGGTCATCTGTCTTTTGACACCAGTCCCACTGTCTACACCAGTAGTTCTCGACCTCTGCTTCCCACATGGCTCTCGCCCTTCCTCCACCAAGTTCCCCTTCCAACATGCAGTCCCTGACTTACTCCTCCTCATGCTGTCGACTACTCTTTCCAACACAATTTTCTACACCGTCTTTGATCACCGGCCCCGAGCTTCTCTCATCAGGGTTGGCCTCCTTTGTACACCCAACTCCTTTCATGCGTACACACCGTTTTGTCCTGCAGCTTATTACGCGCGTGCGGCGCTGCTCGCTTGTGCTTACCGGCGCGTTTGGACCAGCGTGCAGACCCAGATCGCGCAGGGTCGGCCCCAAGGACGCACTACATACATGCGCTCCAGATCCGAGGGGGCCAGCCCCGGCGTGCAGTCCTGCCGTCGGCCGGCACGGCCCCAGTGGGGGGCCGCTGCCGGCGCGCAGGCGGCGAAGCTCGCTTGTTCCTTGCCCTTGTGTATTATTGTGTGTTTCTTGTCTGGTTTTTCCTTGCTCCCACCTACCCTCGTCCAACACAGTTTCCCCCCACCCGCCCCGCGCCTGCCGCCTGCGGCGTGGGCGTAGCGGAGAGTGGGGGGCAAATCATCCTGTAAAGTCATACCCATGCTGCCGTGGGGCGCCGACAGGGCGGGGGCGGGAACGCGAGCCAGGGGGGCCGCGTTCCATGGGCATGCCCCACCGCGCGCTGCTGCAGGCGCTCAAACACGCAGCTCGCCTGTGCCTTTGAGAGGCGGCCTCAGGGCCCAGGTCCCGGCATGTCTCCTGGCTTTTGCAGCGCGCCCTCATTTCTCTGCCTCTGAGCCTTGCATGCTTTGCATGAGTTTCTTTGCATGGTTTTTATGGCTGGCTGGGGCTTGCACCATGTAAAGATACTCTGGCACGTAGGTATCTTTTTTGTGTACTGTAGCTCTGTGCGTGAGGAGGGCCCATTATTGTTACTGCTCCCTGTGAATCTCTATGACAAACGGGTAGAATCTTGTAGCAACATGGCGACAGCAGACCAGAGAGAGACTGGCCCAATCCCCGGCGCGGGAGTGGAAGAGCAAGTGGGCATGACGGGAGAGATACGGCAGTTGCCCCAATAACAATGCGGCCCGGCTGTGGCCGGCTGCAAAGGGGGATGCGGCAGTGAGCAGGGGGCCCAACTTACTCGGCACCCAAACCCAACTGGAGAAACCCCAAAAGGGAGGAAATGTTGGCCGACCCAGCCCAAAGGGGGGCGATATTACCATCATATGATGCATGAGTACGACGCCTCGCTCATTTTTGACAAAGCGACCCAGCAATGGCTTCTTGAGCGCCGATGCTGGCCGGCCAGGGCAGCCGAACAACAAGCGCGCGCCGCCCAGCATGCATGACCGCGCACTCGATCATGCCTGAGAATGCACGGTGGCGGCGGTGGCGCGCGGCGCGGGCAGTGCGCAGCAGCACCGCTGGGTCGGCAAGAGCAAAAACGCAGCCGATGGACGTGTGTGTGCGGCAGCCAAACAAGTGTGGCGCGCCCGAACAAATGCCCCACTCATCGAGTTCATGGCGTTGATAAAACCAAATGTTTGCAACATGCACCCACCCAGACCGCGGGCCGCAGTCCAGCCGAAAGTGTGCGTCATGGTAACGCTTTGGGCCACGTGGCATCCTTTCAACTGCCGCCCTGGCCCAAAAGCCAGGCAGGTCAACGCCGCCTTTCTGGTGAGCCGTCACGCACGCAATAGTTGGGGGGCCTGGTTCGAATTTGAGGCATACGCTGGCAAAGGGCGGTCGTCGCCTCATGTGAAATTCAAACGGGCAGCCGCTCGTGCTAGGCGACCACTGGGTTTGGGATGGATGAGGAGTCAGTGCTGGTGCCACATCAGCCCCGTCGGATGATGCTGGTCAGCGGTGTGGCGCAAGCACACCACGGCTGTGGTTGACCATGGCGCAGATGGCGCTGCGACAGCCACAATTCCCCGCAAGTGTCCTTGCGCACTCGCAGCCCGTGCGCACAATATAAGCGAAAGATGCAATGTAGCAGGCTCCAATCCAGGCGTGCGCCGTGGCTCGTTGCGCGAGGGAGCTGCGCTCTCAAGAGCCGCCAAGGCCTGACAGGAGCGTCTCAAACGCGCACCTACGACGGTCAAAAACGCAAGGCGCGAGCGCGCACAGGCAGTCGTACCCTGGGCCCCTGCCAGTGATGTGTGGCCATGCCCTGGCCGCCCGCAACCCGCTTGCAGGCGCCACCATGCCGGCGCAGTTGGTAATGCCCCGGTCGACGCCACCTCAGCGCGCCATACCACACAGACACGCCGAGACGCCACCCCGCCGCCGCTCAGCCCACGTCCTCGCCCACGTGCTCAGGCGCCCGCGCGCCGCCGCCCCTCGCGCCCGCCACGGCGAACCCGCTGAGCGCCGCGACGGCGCCGCTGAGCGCTGCGATCGAGCGCGTGACGGCCGCCACCGAGCCGCTCTCCAGGGCGGCGCCCAGTGGCTCCAGGACTTCCAGCACCTCCCTGAAGGAGGGCCGCTCCTCCGGGTCGCGCGCCATGCACGCGCGAGCTAGCATGGCGGCGCCCTCGTCGGCGTCCGGGCCGAACTCGAGGCGCCGCTGCTGGACGCACACCGCGTGGACAACGGCGGCGTGGGACATGCCGGCCCAGGGGCGGCGGCCGACGCACATCTGGCAGGGGTTCGGCGCGGGGGGAAGCGAGGGGGAGGACCGGTTCACTGGTGATGGGACAGGTGCGGGCTGGCCAGGTGTTGCACCTGAACGCATCCGCCGCTCGCCGAGCCTGGGAGGTGCGCCGCCGGCGGGCAGAGGCCGCCGTTCCCTGGCGTGCCGGCGCGAGCCCGTGCCGCGCCCGGCCACTCCGCCCGGGGCGAGCTCCGCGGCGCGCCAGGGGCCGCGCGGCTGCGGCGCAGCTGTCGCGCAGGGCCCCGGCCCCATGGCCCTGGCGCACCTGCCAGAGCAGCACCCCAAAGGAGTACACGTCCGCGGCCTTGGAGACCACGCCATGCTCCAGCACCTCGGGCGCCATCTGGGGCAGCAGGATGCAGGGGGGCGGCAGGAAACGGTCAAGGTACGCAACAGTGGCGGTGGTCGGGCCTTGAGACCGCGACACATGCCAGGGTGACACCCGGTCCACAGCCGCACATGTTTCAACTGCGGTCTGGTTGCTGCGAGGCGAAGCCAAGCAGGGGCTGCTGGTGCCGCGCGCTCACGTGCGTGATGGTGCCGCACGTGGCCGTCTCCACGCGACTTTTGTGCTCCACGCAGCGAGATAGGCCGAAATCTGCGTTGACCGGCCAGCAGTCCCAAAGGCAGAAGGGGCGTGCTCAGGCAACGTGCCTCCAAATCATGGGGCTAGAGTGCGGTGGGGCGCATCGCGCGCGTTTGAGGCAGGGGGGCCGCGCTGGCGGTTGGCCACGCGCGGCCGCGCTGGCGGGCGCCCTCACCCGAGACCTTGGCCGTGAAGCCGCGGCCCGCGCGCGCGGCCTCCGTGCCGCCGCTGCTCAGCATGACGTTGAATGCGGAGAGGTCCCCGTGCAGGACCCCCAGGTCGTGGAGGTACGTCATGGCGGCAGCGATCTGGGGT